TTTAACCCATTGTAGTCAATGGGTTACTTCAAATGTAAATTTCTTCTTTTCCCAATTTGGTTCATCCCGGAAGCATTGGGCTAAAGAATGAGAGGATCCCAAACTCTACCAAAACAACACCATCTTGATGACACAAAGGACAACCTGTGATTAAATCAACAAATGCTGTAAGAGAAAACGACATGTCAGAAGCGTACGAGCAAGGGGCCTAATCGATAGTGCATGTCGTTGCTGGTGGAGACAGGAATTCAACCAATCCTAGAAAAACGGGAATAATAATAATAATAATTAGCAAGTTCAATTCAAATGGATTTGCGTTGAACCGCTAAAACAAGATGACTTCATTCCCGATTATAATTGGCTCAGCAGTTTGTTGCTTTGTTTTAGGTAAAAATGCATTTAAGCAGGTGTGCAGGCTGAGGGAAGGCTAAGGCTACAGGGTATAATAGAGTCGCGTCGCCTAAGCTGGGCTGTGGTCAGGTCAGCTACGCCTATGAGTCGGATCTTATCAATGTGGCTGTTGGAAAGCATCAGCTTATTAAATAAATGATGCAGTCAACCAACACAGAGGAGTTATTACGATTGGATTATAATATAGCTTTGCAAATAAAAAACAACCGTTCAAGGAAACAACGTCGTCATCCGGCAAACTACTCTAAGCCGTTGCAACAACAAGTTCTCCCTATGCCGGAAAACTCCACGTGGCACTACCATAATAATTTGGACCCTCCTTGGCAACAATTCCCCCCCCCCGCCCATTATTTTTCCCCCTAAATTGTTTCATCATGAGAATTTTACAAAATGATTTGACACATGAAAAAAATTTAAATTTTCAACACATTGTAGTATATATATATATATATAAACACCACCATGATAGATTTTAATTATCTGTCAGGTACCGTTTCATAAAATTTTATCGATTTAACACCTTTTGTGGAATGGGTGTTAAATCTATAAATGTGTTTGAATCTATGCCTGAAAAGTAATTAATTTCTATTAGAATGATTTTTGTGTAAAAACGTCACGAAATATTAAGGAAATAGTTGTGTTTTGTTTGTTGGAAAAAAAGATAAAATTTAATTAGCTAATTATTTTTATTTCCTGTCTTCTGAAAATTAAGTCATATGACAATAAAGAAAATCACGTGCCTTTCACACTTATTATTTTCTTCAAATAATTGTTTTTCTTTTTTAAATAAATTTTTTCATTAAATCATGGAAATAAGATAATAAAATATATCTTTTCTTCAATAATAATAATAATAATGAAAAATAATGTCAATTGTCTAATCTCTGGATTTTATCATTATTTAACCAACATTTTTGTGTTGAATACATTTTTAAATTTAATTGAGCTTCAAAGTTATTCTTAGATACGTTGAGATTATATATATATATATATATATATATATATATATATATATATATATATATATATATATATATATATATCGAGTATAAAATTATTATAAATATATATATTTTAATATGTTTCTGATACGCTGATTGAATGTATAATTAGTGAATTCTTATAAACCACTGCTGGTTTAAGGGGATACATTGTTTAAGAGGATGACACACATTTCATTGTTCACTAGCATGAGCTCATTAAATTTTTATTAATGTGTGATGTCAGTAAAAGAATACAAATTAATGACTCAATTATCAAAATAAAACGAATTATAATAAATTTTTGAAAAATCAATGATGAAAATAAGAATTATTTTTATTAGTGTCAAATATATTTTATTTTCATCATTGATTTTTCAAAAAAATATTTTTTATTATTATATTTTTAATTCGTTTTATTTTGATAATTGAGTCATTAATTTGTATTCTTTTACTGACATCACACATTAATAAAAAAATTAAAGAGTTCATGCTAGTGAACCTTTAAATGTGTGTCATCCCCTTAAACAATGTATCCCCTTAAACCAGCAGTGGTTTATAAGAATTCACTAATTATCCATTCAATCAGTGTATCAAAAACATATTAAAATATAGATTTATAAGAATTTTATACTCGATATATATATATTATCTCAACGTATATAAGAATAAATTTGAAGCTCAATTAAATTTTAAAACGTATTCAACACAAAAAGGTTTGTTAAATAATTACAAAATCAAGAGACGAGACAAATTTTATTGACACTATTTTTCATTATTATTATTATTATTATTGAAGAAAAAATATTTTATTATATTATTTTCAGAATTTAATGAAAAATTTTATTAAAAAAAGAAAAAATAATTATTTGAAGAAAATAATAAGTATGAGAGTCACATGATTTTTTTTATTGTGATAGGACTTAATTTTTCAGAAGATAGGAAATGATATTTTTTTTGTTAATTAAATTTTATATTTTTCCAACAAACAAAACACTACTACTTCTTTAATATTTCGTGGCGTTTTTACACAAAAATCACCATAACAGAAATTAATTACTTATCAGACACTATTTCAATTTTTTTTATTAAATCAACATAAGGCGTGATCATCATCGGCGTCTTTCTGCAAAAGGTACTAGATCAATAATTTTTTTTGAAATAATGTCTGACAGGTAATTAAAACATGTCAAGGCTATTTTTGAGTAAAAAAACCGATCAAGAAGCTTCTTTTAATGTAAATAATATATGAACAATTTTTAGTAAAAAATTTAAAAATTATTATTAAAATCCAAAAAGTGTTGAAGAATCGGGAAAAGTAAACGAAAGAATACAAGCATTTTAACGAGGTTAGGCAATGTGCTTACATCATCGGTGTCTAGGCGGCGCTAAAAATTTTATTCAATGTCTCATAGGTTTATGTTACATCTCTATTTATAATAGAAAACTCTGGTACATAATTACAAAATTAACCCTGTACCATATCGCGGGGGCTGCGCCAACGCACCCCCAACCCACATAATCGTAACCCCCACTAAGAGACTTTCTTTGTAAGGATAGTTGATGTTCGCTTCGCTCACTCCGCTCCATCCCCTGTCCTCTTTACCGGTATATTTATGAGCCATTCCTTACAAAAAGTAAAGAAAAAAACCTTGGAAAATAGATAAGAAAAAATTGTCCCAATATTTTACTCAATGTATTCAAGTATAAATAATATTATTAACTATTAATTGGTATAATGGAACGAGGTGTTAAAATTTTAAATTAAAGTTTTTTAATAGTCTAGAGTGACAATCTTTTTTTAACTAACGATAATGGACATATCTTATAAGTATAGTTATTCGAACAATACTCTTTTTAACCACTGAAATTATTGAATGGGTTCTTAAATACAGTGCTGTTAATGAAGAAATATAGTTAAGATTTTATTGTCAATATACTAATAAATCAATGAGGGAGGAGAAAGAAGAATTCTTCTTAGAATATGACCTGAGTGATGCCGTCATCACCGACAAATGAACTGAATTCTTGGAACGACACACAGACCTCGTAGGAGTGCGTTTTGTTGTAGTTTGAATTATGTGGTAGACATGAAATGTGGTTTAAGAGGATGACTGAGAAAATTTATTGTCGAGTTCAAAGAAAAATTATAAGAGACAGAGAAATGGGAACAAAGAGTACGGAAGCGGCAGCGACGACGAGAAAGGTACCTAAATTTGTTTGTTATTGATGATGTTGTTTGGTTGTAAGAGTAAAGTATACAGATGGACTCCAACTATATAATATTGTTTTATTAAGTTTCTCGACTATTAAAAGTTATAAAATAGTCTATGACTATAGAATGTTATTTTGTTGAGTTCCTAGATTACTAAAAGTTAAAAAAAAATGGTCATCCGACTATTCATTATATTCTAAACTCGTCCTTTTCCGTTAAAAAATATATGGTATTTTGAGCTGAAAGTTAACATGTTGATTGTTATATGATGAAATCTAATCCTAGAATCTCAAGTTTCTCAACTATCAAAAGTTACAAAATGATCCTTTGACTATAGAGTGTTGCTTTGTTGAGTTACTAGACTACTAAAAGATACAAAATTGTCACCCGACTATCAATGGAGGATCCATAAATTTAAGAATGGGGGTCTAAAATTTTAATTATCATTTCTTAAAAATAATGGGTATGCAAAAATTTTATTGTTTTTCTTTTTTCCTTAACACTTTAAGCTAAATTTAACCACTTTTCCAAAATAATGGGATGCACTTGGCCCCTATGGGGGCTTAGTATATCCGCCACTGCCGACTATTCATTATGTTATAAACTCATCATTTTTTGTTAAAAAATAGTCGGTATTTTGATCTGAAAGTTAACATGTTGACTGTGATATGATAAACTTAATCGTAGAATCTCAAACGACTATTATATCCCAATCATCATGTTGATCTCCAGCTTAAACAACCGCCAATTTTTTAATGAAAGTACGAGTTTGGAACAAAATGAATAGTCAAGTGAGCATTTTGTAACTTTTAATAGTCAAGGGACTTAACAAAACAATATTCTATAGCTAGAGGGACATTTTGTAACTTTTAATAGTCAAAAGACTTCATAAAGCAAGACCCTATAGTCAAGGGACCATTTTTGTACTTTACCCTAGTTGTAATTGGTATTATTTTCAAGTTTAATATGTGTTTTCCAGTTTAAAACTTGTGGAAGAGGATTCTAAACATTTAAGGTTAAAAAATTTGGAAAGCTTAAAGGTGAAATATGAGGGTTTTTTTTACAGGTGAAATATGAGTTTGAAGGAGATTCGGAAATCTTGTTTGTAAATAAGAATTGGTTTAAATTAGTTATTATTTAATTAAGTTTAAATATAATATTTTAAATGTTATTTTAAAAAATATATAAAAAAAGTATAGATGATAAAATGACACAACTTTCCCACCAATTTAATAGGTTTTATTTTATTTTATAGAAAAACATAAATGAGACAAAATACAAGTTTTAGTTAGAGGGTAATGTATAATTAAGTACATACATGGTGGCTTCACCATTCCCTGAACAAATTTTAGTTTAGAAGATCAAAATGCTCCACAAAAACAATCGATGTTAATTCACTAAAGATGCAACAGAGGGGACTGGGTCTGCTGGCACCTCCTTTTTGCTACCTCATCTACCTGTATTTAGTTTACGGTTCGGCTTGCCAGAGCTTCTTCATGCAGTTGTGTATGCCCAATTGTCCATCGAGTGAGACCTCTTACCGCTAACCGACCGGTAATACTCTTCCACTCCGTAAACTTTCCTGAACAATGGGAGCAGTAATACATGTCAGACACACCCAAAAGCAAATTACTTAGGCTGAAAGAGGTGAATGTAAAGTCGGGCCTACGCTAGATCTGCCAAATTTTCCTACTTGATCACAGCTTTTCCTTCTGGGCGTTCAAGGCAGGAGTAATGCACTATCATCTCCTTTAGCGTGTGCTTCGTGCTTTTAACATCATTATCCCATGATATGCTCTGAAATAACAAGTCCAAGAAACTTGTAAACTTGGTAACTCGGGAAAGTCCGATCCAATACCAGGATACGAAACTTGAGCAGCACGCTAGAAACCACAGATACAATATAAATTGACAAAACCTTAAGTGATGACCATTACTCTCAATCTCAAAAAGCATATGTTTATTTTTCGATTTCATATCATGTTTCAAGAGGAACTACAAAGCAAAATTTTAAGCTGTCTTACAGTTGAAGCTAAGAGAGACCTACCTTCCTAACGTACTCTCTGTTCACATCTTCCCAATCTGCTTTACCTTCAGGAGAGAAAATTGAAGCATAAGAGCACCTCTAGCTAGCAGCCATAACCGATGAAGCACCTTAAAGAAAAATATTATGAAATTGCACATATACACAGTACAAAAGCAAATTAAGAAACATTATGCGTTCTGCAACTGCCTTAAAGTTCAAAGAGCTTGGAATACAGTAGGAAACCATGCATTTGAAGATCTTTGCATAAAAGGCTGAAATAATTTGGCAGTGGATCGGGCAAGGAGGATATTAGACTGAGCTTCAGCCACTTAGAAAACCAGAAAAATATATACAATTCTCGATCAAAACTGCTTATCGGCTTCGAAATGGTCCCTCGATTTCAGTAGATCCTCGAGTTTGGAAATTGATTCATGGGTATAAGGGACTTCAAAAAAAATAAAATTTTCCTTTGTCGTGCTTGTTCTGAAAAACTCATGACCAATGCACAGCGTGTCTATCGTCACCTCACTGAGGATGCAAGCTGTCCAATTTGTGGTAATGTGTTGGAAACGACTTCTCATGTTTTCCGGGAGTGTCCGAGAACAAAAATAATATGGGCAGTTTATGTTCGAGCTGATCGTTTAGACGAATTATTGTCTATGGATTGGAAAGCATGGTTCGTCATGAATTTATCGGATGCATCGAGGTTTGTCACTAACGTTGTTGATTGGGATCTATTTTTTGGGGCGATTCTTTGGCACCTTTGGGTGGATAAGAATGGTTGGGTTTTCAATGGTGTGCTGAATGATCAAAGTAATGTACTAGTTCGGAGTGCTCGTCTACATAGAATCTGCTGTGATGCATAGCAGGAAGTGGAACGAATGAAAATAGCGTGTAATCCGCCTGCAGTGATGAATACCAGGGGGGAGCGATGGACTAAACCACCTCAAGGTTGGTTTAAATTAAATTCTGATGGAAGCAGAAATCTGAATGATGGGACATTCGGGATGATAATGGTTTATGGATATTGGGTTACTACAAATTTCTTGGTATTTGTTCGCTGGTTGAAGCGAAACTTTGGGGAGTTTTTATGTGATTAATAGCGGCTTTGGAACGGAGCTTTCGTAGGATTGAGGCAGAAGAGGATATCCTTCATGGTGCGTTTGGATCGGGGAATGTGAGATTTTCTCGGGAATGGAATCTACATTCACCGTTTGATTGGCCGTGAATATTTTATTACCAATAGTAAATTTTTTGGGGTATATTACCGAGAATGTCATTACCTCCATTCTCTTAGTTATTGTAACATTACCGGTGTTTTGGACTAAAATGTCCTTAAATTTTTATTTTTTTCAAAAACTATTCTTCTTCTGTCATTGAATAATAAAAATTCTACGAAGGTTCAATTACAAATTTATCCTTAAACTATTTTAGATTACAAAAAAAATCTATAATTAAAATTTTATATTAAGTTCAGGGGTTAAAATAAAATTTTACCATTTCATTAAACATTTTTTATATTTTTAATTTTGTAAAAAAATATATATAAATTTTATGAATTTAAATTTTTTAAAGAAAATATATAAATATTTTCCGACTTGTAATATTATACAAATATATAATAAGGACAATTTGATCAAATGTACATTCTAATAATCTTTTATTCCTTTAACCAAACACGGTAATCTTACATTCCTGCTAAACCAATCAAACATAAAATACAACATTCCCAGTAATCATATTTCCTGGTAATCTTTTATTCCCACTGATAATCTTACATTCCGTGAACCAAACACACCCTCATGTGTTTCGGCTTCTCCAACCTGATAGGATCGGGCAAGGAAATATGCCCATTCTAACGCATATTCATATTATGGTACAACGAAACTGTGGTGTCCGATTCTGTCATATCTCACGTCATGGTAACGAGGTTGCAGATTGATGATGATCTTGGAGTTCACTATTTGGAGAGGCCTCTACAAGAAGTCATGTATTTACTGCGGATTGACGATGCTAGATCGTCTAGTTGATTTGTTTTTTGTTGATTGTATTTGATTTTTTAAGGATTCAGATGTACTTTTTTCCTCTAATTCGGATTAGAGAGATTTTTAACGAGGCATCCACAATCCTTTCTGTGTATGATCTTCCTTGATCATACCGTTTTCACCAAAAATATATTTTAATCAAATTTCTACAAAATTATAAAATTTTTTCTGAATGGAAAATAAACTAACAAAAATACGAGCATTGTCGGCAACTAAAATAAATTATGAATATTTATTACTTTTAATCACTATACACTAATAAATAAATAAAAACAATTTGAAATTTGCATGATCAGGACTATTCAGATAAAAAAAAGGTTAATATATATCTTCCTCCAAGTTTGGAACGAATTGGTCCATCCATCATTAATTTGTATTTTATTTCCCCCACAAGTTGCAGAAACCACCTTCCTCTGAAGCAAACTCTCTTATTTCATTTGTATAAACCTAACAGTGTCTAGGAATCAGCTTATTTTCGATCATATCTTTTATACCTAACAAAAAAAAAAGAATAATTATATGAATATAAATTGAAAAAAGTAAATTTAAAGTTATGAATATAATAAAAAAATACACGATTCGACCGAACATGATATCATAAATAAATCTACAAATGTTCCATCAGTCTCAACCAAAAAGGAATGGCAATGCGTGCTTCCAAGTCTCTCTCACATATCGCCTCCCCTGGTTTCAATTATCCCAATCCTATTTATTATGTCAATATATGCGCCTCCTGTATTTTTTTTATTTTTTTAATATTCTAAAATGATTATAAAATATTATTTATTAATAATTTTTAATTAGAGAAAATTACATATTTTCTCACCGAATTTTATTCTATCTCATATTTTACTCATCATACTTTTAATTTTTCTATTTTGCTCACTAAACTTTTACAGATTGAATCATTTTACTCACTTTGCCGTTAACTTTCGAATCTTCTTCTTTCACCACCGTCGGCCACCGTTGACCATCGTAAATGATGGTCACTTAGTCTTAAAATTCATGGATCAGCTCGTCTTGACCCCTTAAGTCTGAATTCGGTGTATCTCAAAATCTGTGAATCTCGACTAAAATGTTTCGGCTTCCTCACTTTCAATCTCCAATTCATGGACTTCAGAGCAAGTTCCGACAAAATAAAGGTCGGATTTAGACTCAATGTGTCAAGGCGAAGCGATTCATGGAATTTGAGACCGAATGGTCACCATGGCCAACAGTGGCATCTAGCCACATTCTGTTTTTTCATAATTGAGTGAGCAAAATAAGAGAGAGAATAAAGTTCAGTGAAGAATGGTGTAATTTTTCCTTTATATTTTTAATTATTTTATATTAAATAATAATAAAAAATGATACATCATCACAAGAGAGATAATGGCAGATTGAGCAAAATGATTCAATTTATAAAGTTCAGTGAGCAAAATAAAAAATTTAAAAGTACAGTGAGTAAAATAGGAAAGTAAATTTCAACTAGAAATGGTTGTAATTTATTATTTTAATTATCGACAATGTATACATACCTTACATACGTATTACTCAAATTTAAGACTTTTATAAAGAACAATACATTTTTTAATAAGTGGACCACTTGATAAGTTTTATTTTTGGATATTTTATTTTCATTCATCACCTAAAATATGTATACATAATCTATATTAATAAGTGTATCGAATTTTTTAAACAAAATACCATACGTGCACGCAATTATTGTATATATGACAAATATTTATTTATATTGAGTGTAAATTTTTGTGTCTATCTACAAACTTGAAGCATTTTTCTTGGTTTAAATACTCATTTTGTACATGAATTATTCATAATATCTTAATATCATATAAATATATTTTTCACTATCAATTTCATACATGAATTTTTTCACTATTATTTATACGACATCGAGAAATTGAATATAATTCATGCATAAAAGAATCACTTTTTCGTCCATTTGTTCTTTTTAATTTCTGTTTCTCCTTTTTATATGTTTTTATTTAATTTACAATTTTTATTTTTATTTTTTGCACCCATTTATTGATCATAATGATCTGATCGACTCTGACAAATTAATCAACCACCACCAACATATATATTATATGTACTTTTTGTTTAACAGTAAAAGTTTTATCTTATATCGTATAAGTTTTGGTATTGTTTTTTTGTAAGATTTTATTTTTTATTTTAGGGTTAAATTTGTCGTCATTCTTCTAATTCATGAATGTTCGATTCTTATTTTATATATATGGATTTGGTGGGATGCTAATAAAATGATTCATTGTATTGCTAGAATAATCGTATCTCAAGCATATTACTTTAATTACAGAGTGAACTTCACCATTTATTAATGAGTTTTACTCTTTCTCCTATTTTACTAATTTTATTTTTAGTTTTTTTTAATTTAATTACTGAACTTTCAAATTGTTTATATTTTAATCATTCATAATTATTTTATCATTATTTTGATATGATATAACATTTATTATTACTATTTAATATAAAATACTTTAAAATATAAAATTAAATCTAGATAGTGGTTGATGTTGACAAAAAGGGACAATGATTATTTTAAATCATTTTAAATTTAATAATAATAAAAAATATTATTTTGTTATTTATTTTTTAAATTATTTTTATATGTAATAATATATAAAAAATGTCATGTCATAGAAGAATAATAATAAAATAATTTATAGTGACTAAAATAGAAGCAATTCGAAAGTCTAGTCAGTAAATTGAAAAAATTAAAAATATAATGAGTGAAATAGGAGAGAGGGTAAAGTTCAATGATGGCTGGTGTAGTTTACCCTTAATTAAAAAAATCTTTAAAAAGTAGATTTAGATATATTGGATAAGCTTAATAACTATGTATACACAAATAGGAGAGAGGGTAAAGTAGATTTGAAAATTTGATTCTATGCTTCCCCCCTACCCTAAGAATCTTAATTAACAAAAATAAATCACTCTGATACGATTAAAAAACAAAATTCCGTTGGCAAAAGGGCTTGACAATGATGGTTATGGATGATGAAGGATGTTGGCAAAATGTTTTGGATATTTATTTAAATTTTTTGAAAGATTTAGAAGTTTAAATCCATTTTTTTAATTTTTGAAACTTAATGAGATTTTTAAAAAAAAATTAAAAATCCAAAGAAATGAAAAATGAAAAATTTAAAATATATGAAGGAACTAGATTAAAATTTTTGAAAATTGAGATGTGAAATACTAATTTCCATTTTTCTGGGGGCACGGCACCTTGGGCCCATTAACGCCCGCCTCTGGTTATGGATGTGCTCAGCAGCTGTGGATACTTTTTTTTTTTCAGGTTAGTGCATGGATTTAGTTAGCCCCTTCCTCTATGTCATCTTTATTGTGTTCTTCCACAAAT